AAGTTATTGTATAAAAGAGTATTTCTTTAGTATAAGAATAAACTTTTATAAAATGACTTTTTAAAAATATACATCTTTAAACTTTTTTTGGAGTCCCGTGGATCCTTAGTAACGAAAGGTTAAAAATTTTTAAATGCACACATGACAATTCTAATACAAGTGATTGATATGAAAGTTTGAACAAAGTTATATCGTTAGAGAGCAAGAAAATAGTTACATACATTATATTAAATTACATTAAATAACATTAATATTAATAACATCTGTTATTGTATGACAGGGTTTATGTGGGCAGCATCAGTTTTGAATTGAAAGAAGATACAATCAGGCAAGCTTTCTTGCCATTCGGACCGATCAAGTCCATCAATATGTCTTGGGATCCCGTTACGCAGAAACACAAGGGCTTCGCCTTTGTTGAATACGAGATACCCGAAGCCGCGCAACTTGCTTTGGAGCAAATGAACGGTGTCATGATCGGTGGCCGCAACATCAAGGTAGCAGGACGTACCTATATAACGAATTTCCTGTCCCCCAGCAATCCTATCATCCCGCCGGAGGTCGGCAAATTTTTATTTAGTCCTTTATCCAATACCTATGATTTTCGAGCGAACTGCATCTTAATTGCAATTTGCTTGAAAATCTTATTTCATTAGTATACTTTTGCTACGTATACATTACTTCGAGTTTTTCATTTATTTATTAAGTTACATCCCATTACATGCTCTATATATTATATCGCTTCCTTACTCCAAAAGCTACACAATTCAAAAAATTAAATTTCAGAAAAGAGGAAAAATTCTTTTTTAATTTTACAAAAAAATTATTGATTAATCAAATATCGGCAAAAAATGTTCTTAATATGAAATGTCATTTAAAAAATTGTTCTTTTACAATTGTCACGATTTTGATAATTTAAAAAAAATACTTCAAGTGTAATGATTTGTTATAAAATTGAATTAGTTTACTTTTGAGAGTAGTCAATCAAAAATAAACTAATTCAATTATGTTAATAATTCGAAAATCGTGCTTTTTTAGTTGTCACTTTTGAAATAAGTGGCGATATATTCATTTAATAATTTTGCAATAATATTAACGCAACGCTAGAGAATATATCTTATAAATTATCTTTTCTTATATTTACCTCAGGTTGTGGGACGTCCGTCCAATATGCCGCAAGCACAATCGGTGATTGACGAGATCACCGAGGAAAGCAAACATTATAATCGCATTTATATAGCATCGATACATCAAGATTTGACGGAAGATGACATCAAGTCGGTTTTTGAAGCATTCGGTCCAATCACGTATTGCAAACTTGCACAAGGCAGTTCTCCACATCGACATAAGGGATACGGCTTCATCGAGTATGAAACAATGCAGGCTGCGCTGGAAGCTATCGCCTCCATGAACTTGTTCGATCTGGGTGGCCAGTATCTGAGAGTAGGCAGAGCTATAACACCACCGAATGCACTTATGGGACCACCTAGTGGTACCAGTATGATGCCAACCGCGGCTGCGGTGGCTGCAGCAGCTGCAACAGCAAAAATTCAAGCGATGGACGCAGTTGCCAGTAATGCCGTCGCGTTAGGTCTTACTAAACTTGGAGCTACTGCACCACCAATTCTGAATCAAAGTTCGTACATTCATAATTCTTGCATCTACACTGAATCCAAACGTTGCAAAAGAAGAATTACTTTTATGTGTTTATCACTATTTATTTCTATTATAGCACTTCCTGTAGGTGTAGTGCGACCTACTATAGCGCCCACAATAATGGCACCACCAACGGTAGCAACGGTAGCACCAGTGATACCTCCACCTGGCATAGCTATACCGCAAACCTTAACGCGACCACCCGCTATTATCCAACCGATTCCTGGCCAACCGGTTGTCATACCACCTCCCGCTGTTGTCGCGCCTACGATTGTCGGCACACCAGTTGTAAGTATCCAATGTATTAGAATAAAATGTATTAAAATAAAAAAAATATTGAATCGACGTGTTAATTATAAAAAATCTGATTGTTTATTAGATACCAGTTACAACCACCGCAAATTCCGACATTATGAGGCGGGCGCAAGAACAAGCGGCTCATCAAAAACAACAGGAAGAATTACAGAAGAAACTCTTAGAAGAAACCGAACCGCAGACATTGCAACAACAAGAAAATATGTCAATTAAGGGTCAGAGCGCGCGTCATCTCGTAATGCAAAAGCTTATGCGTAAAGTTGAATCTCGAGTCGTTATTTTAAGAAATATGGTAGCACCGGAGGATGTGGACGAAACCCTACAGGAGGAAATTCAGGACGAGTGCTCTAAGTTTGGTGTGGTTGTACGAGTTATTATTTATAAAGAGAGACAGTCCGAGGATGACGAAAACGCGGAAGTCATCGTAAAAATATTCGTCGAATTCGCTGAAATGAATGGTAAAGTATATTTTTATGTCTCGGTAATAAATATCTCAATGACTGAACTAATAAAAACTAGTAACCAATCCTATATTTGTATAAATATTAATTAGTGACATTACAAAAGAAATTAACACACTTTGTGTTCGCATATTACACAGTTGCATCATCTGACTACGGTAAATTATGGCATACAATTTATTTTTGCATTATCAAGCAAAAACATTTCTCTTATGTTTTTATCTACAATTACATGCAATAATAATAGTATATATATCGATAAGACGGTTCCAAATAACATGAGCACTAATTCACTCAATATTAGAGGCTTTCGATTTAGTGACATAAGCTTTAGACTGATGCTCTTATATAATGCAATATTTTAAAAAATTTGAAAATATAGACTATGTCTTATTCAAAATAATAAGAAGAGAGTGATGAAAATATGACTATTCCTGCGAAATATAAAACTTGTTTATAATAATTTGCAGTCAGAAAATAATACATTTTTATTAATTTTGATATAAAATATTTAATCTCTTTTTAATTTATTTTCTTGCTATTATTGATATCTTAATAATTATAAATATGTTGTTGATTTTTCCATTAACGTTATATAACTTGTAATGGGCACATTTATGTCCGTTTCTATCACTGCAATTTAACTTTAATCTTGATTCAACTAACTCTTTATCTTTTTCTAGTTTTAAGAATAAGAAAAAGATAAAGAGTAAGTTGAACCGAGATTAAAGTTAATCTATATTGAAATTGACTAGTTATCGAGACATTTATTTTATATATAGTGTCATAAATTGATTATACTGTCGTATAAGTATGTGAATAATCTAAATTACACTGCAATATATTCTGTATATATTAACATTTGTGTCATGTAATTATTGGATTAATTTTTATGTTTTCAGAAGCAGAACGTGCAAGAGATTCGCTAAACGGTCGTTATTTCGGTGGACGATTGGTTAAAGGAGAACTATATGATCAAGCTCTATTTGATAATAGTGATTTTTCTGGTTGATATAAAATTCTCTCATTTGGTATATATTAAGTTTTTGTCAATTAAATTCGTGTAAGAGACAAAATTTAATGTTGACTGATAGCTCTTCGTTGTTTAAGCTACTATTTATAATGAAATCTCAGAGTCACGTGTTGAAGTCAAAAGTGCACGCGATTCACGGCTCTAATCGTACACTAATTTGTAGTGATCAAAGACTTGTTCTTTTTACCTGAACTTTTGCACCAGTTCATTTTTTTTCTTTTTCTTCAGAAGGAAAGAAGAGAAAGAAAGAACTGATGTAAAGGTTCAACTAAAAATAACAGGCCTCAAGACGCGAAGTATAGGAACTGCACAGCGCAAACAGAAAGCGATTTAAATTTATCAAATGTGATTTAGAATCTTACATTCATTTAATTCTTCCCCTCCCCCATATAAAATGGAACTTTATATCTTATTTCGTACGTCATTAGTTTCATATCACGGACCGTAATTGCAAACTAGGATCGTAGTATCTTGAGACATAAATATTTCGTACATTTATTTCCAGTATATAGTACCTTTGTTATAATTTTGTCGAGAATGATTGTATATGAAAGCGATAGATCTTAATTTACATGTATAGGAAAAGATAGACATTAATAATAAATCATTTTACATATACAGAGTGACTCACTTAAAGCTTAACAATTTGATATCCTAAGAATTCCTCAATCAATTTTAATTCCTCAATCATTCTTGTCTTGATAGATCTTAGACATATTTAAAAGGATATTCGCTTTAAAAAATCGGAAAAATAGGAAAAATGTTTTTAGAAATTTTTTTCCATAGAAGAAACAAATTTACAATTTTTTGTTGTATGTTGAGTTTTCTGTTGAATTTTTATTATACTTAATATACTTAATTATAAATTGAACAGAATAGCATGACCAATCATAACGGCAGAAAAGAAAGCAGAATAATGTAAAGTTGTGATTGAGCACATTCAGTGAATTTAATAGTCGAGTGATTGTTTGCTGCTATTAATGTATGCTTCTAAATCTAAAGTCTGATTGGATAATCCACAAGATTACACCAATAACAACGTCATTTAACTATTGAATTGTTGAATGTGCATTAGGCCTGCTTTCATGACTCATGGTTAACTCTTAACCGAGATTCAACTTATTTCTCATCTCTTTCTAATGCTAGCATTAGCATGAGAAATAGGTTGAATCTTAGTTAAGAATTAACTGCGAGTTGTGAAACTGAGCCTTAGCCGCGCTACATTTGTTCTCTTATTAGTACAAATACATCATTGTGCATCTGTGGCTCACATCCATGTTCAATATTATAATTTTATCGAATACAATTTAATAAAATAGATACCTAATACCACTAATCTTCATATTACTAAAAATGGATGTTAATGTACTAATGTACAGGAATTTAAGAGTTTCATGAAAAAAGCTGGCTGTTTTCAGATTGCTCTCTGATACAGTCTAATTTAACAAAAAAATTTTTTAATTTTCAGATAGAATCCTATAACAAATTTTCCATTGTCAATGTTAGAAAACAATTTTTGCTAAACAATTTCTTTAAAATTATTCTTTAGAAATTTCATCAAATTCTTTATTGTTTTATTCTTTATTTATTTATTTATTTATTATTTTTTGTACGAGTCCTTTGGTTTATAATCACTACCAAAATCTTTCATATCTTCATAGACAGGAAAATTTCCTGGAGTTGTCTGAGTAGTGGATGATGTGGGAAGATTAGTAGTATCATTTTTTGGGCGATTCTCATTCAAAAGCTTTGCAGCATTCTCCTTCTTAGTTATTGCCAATTGATAATTAGCTTCTATTTCCTCTCGCGTGGGTGGTTCTTTTCTACGATATCTCAACCAAGCCTCCCACTCCGCGGGTAATTCTTGCTCGAAGTCTTCCTTGTTCACTGGAATGAAATACCGCGGTGGCCTTTTCCGAGCGGAATAACGAATATCTTCCTCATAGTACTTTGTGCCAAAATAATCCTCGCCAATTAATTTGCGGCGGGCAAAGCGAGGTTTCAGCGAGGATACAAAACTGTTCCAAATTATTTTCAAGACGCTACGCTCTTTTGCCATGTTATCGCTATACTATAAATAAAGAGAATGACTATATCTTGGACGTAAAACACATAATATTACGTAATGAAATTACGCCGAGAAAATATTGAGAAGATCTTATAATAACTCCTTATAATAACTCCAATTATAATTTGATAATTAATAACAGATAATCTAAAAAACAGTTCTGTTTAAGCATGGATGATCTCGAGTAGAATAAGTAACTACGTTTTTTCGAAAACATTTTATAATTTTATGTAACTTCTAATCGATATAAATCAATCATCATTTCACGTACCGTTTGATATATGTAAAACTGATGACTTTTTTTTTAGGTTAGTATTTTCTCTTCTTTTATTAAAGGAGTGTTCAGATTCCCATTCGGGTGTTCTCAGTTAGAACTGTGTTTAACATCACAAACATATCTTACATATGTTTACGATGAACGACAAGGATAGTACATCATGTGTGAAACGAAGTGCAGTCAGAATGTCATGTCATCCTTGTTTACGTTCGGTAAACAACAAGGATAGAGTATCTTTTATCTTTATTCAACATTCGGTGAACAACAATGATAAAATACTCGAATACACAAAATTGAATTTTGGAACGCAATCTGGATGGCACTCGGGTAAGAATCTGGGGGTCGATTGTGTGTCTTCAAATGAAGTGAAAATTATAAAAGTGAGCAAATTCTAGAGTATTCATAATTTAATTGGTCAATCAATACCTAGTAACCTTTGCTCACTTTTCTAATTTTCACCTCCTTTCAAAATCCACAATTGACCACCTGAATGACCACATAACCTAAAGCCGGTGGCACACGACACGGTGGCATGTTTTCCTGCTGGATTGCTAGCTGGATTAGAATCTATTGGCTGCGAACTGGCACTGACAGCCAATACGGTGGCAAGATTCTAATCCAGCTAGCAATCCGTAAGAAAATAAGCATCGTGTTAATCCGCAGGCCGAATTCACACCTTGACGGAAAAACGGAAAGCGGAAAAACGGAAACCAATCGGAACTCGCAGTAGTAGCTTTTCCGTCAAGGTGTGAACCCAGCCTAATATTATATCATTATAGAAGTTTTGCAGGATGACTTAAGATTTTAATTATATAGAATATATATAGAATATATATAGAATTATTGATTAGTGCGATAATTTCCGCATTCAAGCGTTGCCATGTTTTAAATGCAGAAGCCATTATGGTGTAGCCATAACAATAGAACAAATATCAGAAACAGGAACAAATATTAAGATTTCAACCTACCAGATACTAGTTATACAAGGGAGTCGATTTTGTATCTTCAAACAAGATGAAAATTACAAAAGCAAGTACATTTACTAAATGTTGACCAATGAAATAATCAATATTTTAATAAATTCGCTTACTTTTATAATTTTCACCTCATTTCAAGATACAGAATCGAAAATCCCAGAATATACGGTTTCTGATGAGTTGAAATTTTAATATTGGGCGCATTTAAGCCGGATAAAGCCTTTTCGCCGAGCAATTGAATGTAATTGGTTGGATCTATAAGTAATAACCAATCATATTCATTTGCTCTGTAAGCAGGCCAGCCGCTTTGTCGACTTTCCCTTTATTTCTGTTTTTAATTTGTTCTATTAACCTAGTTTACATCGTGCACTTGATACGAGTACTAACTAGTAACTTTCTATTGAAATATATGATCCTAATTTCAGCGATACGTGTAAATATATATATGTTATGTGTACTTAATTAATCATTCTGTTGTATACTGTATCAATTTAGTACATCATTCTTTGAACACATCGCTGAAATTGAAATAATTAATAGAAAGTTACTAGTTAGTACGTGGAGCTCCGCACAATAAAAGGAACAGGAAATAAAGAATAGAGAATAAGAATTTTAACCTATCAGAAATCATGTATTGTAGAATACACAGTTTTTGATAGGTTGAAATTTTTAAGATGCAGCCACAATAGAAGGAATTAAAGAATAAAGATTTCAACCTATCAGAAATCGGATACATCGGAATACACGGTTTCTGATAAATTGGTATCGTTATTCCTTATTCTTAATTCCTTATTTTTTCTATTGTGGCTGCACTATTATTCTCTGTTTTTTGTGCTCTATTCTTTTTATTGTGCGGAGCCCCTATCAAGTGCATGATGTAAAAATAATTGCCTAGTTTACATGCAAATGTGCGCAGACCTTTATTTCATAGATGCATCTAGTAAAATTTCTGAACGCAGTCCAAATGCGGTGGAGCGCGTCTTGTGTACGCATGAGAGGTTTGCTCGCTCTCTCGTGGCTTACGTGTGTTACATGCATGCGTGCATGCGTGAGTGCGATCGTGCAAACGTGATAGTGAACAGTAGGTTGAAAATGGCCGTGTATTCGGACAGCTCTGCCGTAGAGATTGCCGATCTCCGCAAAAGATAGACTCCTGTGTGGATCGCGACGGAACGCAATCTGCACTCGCGTGTGTATTTACTATTCAGTGTCATCACTCCAGCTTTCTGTTTCTTTCCCATGAACAGATTCCGTGAAACAGGACGCGCAGTCGACCAGCTATCGGCTACATTCCGGTGGATTTCGCAGTGGCAAAACGCGGGGAAGAGGAGGAGGAGGAGGAGAAGACGGTCATCGTGTCCAAGATTTCAATACTAGACCATCCTGTCATCGATCGCAGGTAAGCGACAGAGTAGCCAAGAGTGACATAACTGCGAGCGCCGCTCCTTCCGAGAGAAACGTCCTCAAATCCTTTCTCGTATAGACGATCGCTCGTCCGCCCTGAAGTTGCACGCGGGCCACGCGTATTCATTACCATGTTCACTACCATCTGACCGCCGTCCTCGCCGTCTCGCCTGAAGTGAGCGCGACACGGCGCTTTTATTCTCTCTCCGTTCACATGGAATAACTGTCCAAGATTTGTAATCGTGGACATTGGCTTGATCGAAAGCTTGATATATATAGATGTTCATGTCTTCTTTCCGTAATGGAAATAAATAGAAATAGAAAGAAAGAAAAGCAATAGGCGTGAATGTCGACACACATCAAGTCAATGCTAGTGGAATTACATATTTTGGACAGCACCGTTTTAAATGCACCTTCCTGCACTTTCTATACGCGTGGAATGAAGTCATCCGCGTACATATCTTGACCATGGCAGGAGAGAGAGGGAGAGTGTCGCAGGTAAGCAATGCGGAAAAAGAGAGAGAAAAAAAAAAGAGAGAGAGAAAAGGCGCACCCGCGAAATAGTCTCCACGAGACGGATACAAGCTCAGCGTTGTCCTACGATCTCGGCCGCCCATCCCGAACATCGTCATCATCGTCGACGACAACGACGGCTATCTCTTGGTCGCTCACGCGTGAATGGCCGTGCGTCGCCCGATTTCCCATGCGCGGCGTGTCGGGGCGTGTTCGTGCGAGAGGAACTCTAACCGCTTTTCCGAAACGCGGACGACGCGTGGATGGATAGACAGGACACGGAACGAGACGGATCTCTGCCAGGATTCCCGAAAAGTCAGATTTCCGAACAATTGTACCTCCTGGCACGTCGGCCGCATCGTCAACGGTATGGACGTGACCTAAGGTCACTTGTCAAAATTGTGTCAAGCCTGGTCAAGCCGCGTGACCGAGCGTCAACACCTGTCGACAATTCTCTCTCTCTCTCTCTTGCTCGCTCGCTCGCTCGCTCTCTCTCTTTTCTACACTGAGAAAAAAATATAGTTAATTTTAATATATTTAGTTCAATCAACTCAATACTATCAAGTAAACATTTATTTACAGTAAGTAAATATTTGTTCAATAAAAAAAAATGATTGTTAAATCAAATTAACATTTCTTGTATCAAATACATATCTTTATATTTAATAAATATTTAGTTGGCAGTATTCAACTAAAATATTTATTAAAATTGATTATTTTTTTTTTCAGTGTAGCTATTTTTTCATGATTTCTTATTGTTCCTCACATTTACACAAAATATATATGCGATCGAGGGCGACTATCGATTAAAGCCCTTTCAATTTATGCTCGTTTCTATCAATATAGATTAACTTTAACCTTGATTCAACTTATTATTCATCTTTTTCTAATTTTTAGAACTAGATAAAGATGAAGTTTATTGAACGAAAATTAAAATTAAACTACATTGATAGAAATGGACATTGATGTTGATAAAAAATGGGCCAAAATTAATCGAGTATAATTGATAATTATAGATTTTAATTGCGTCCTACTAATTTTGAGTAACTGATGTATCCTTTTATTTAGCTTTTTTCAATTTTAGAATGTCTTATGTCCATTTCCATCAATGTAGATTAACTTTAATCTTTTTCTAATCTTCAGGACTAGAAAAAAAACGAAGAGTAAGTTGAACCGAGATTAATGTTAATTTATATTGATGGAAACGGGCATTAAGAGTGAATAATGCTTGAAACGTTGACATTTAACGATGTATATACGGAGATGAGCAAACTACGTAGCTTCTTTAAGTGACAATTTAATACTGAAATGTAGTAAAACAAATAATCGCTACTTTCCAGTGTGAAATTTCTATTAAGGAGGGAGAGACGATCGTTTCGCGTGCTAAAAAGGATTATATCGCAAGGCGGGGACTCAAACGCGATACGCAACGGTAATTCCGATTAACGCCTAATCGAATTTGCTGTCGCGCCTGCGAATCCACCGGACGTTTTGCAAGTCTCGTTGCCCACACGCAGGATGCTTCCACGAGTAGGGCATCACTTTGCAATCGCCGCTGCATTCGCCTTTGGCTCTCCGGTTGGCCTCTTCTTTCCCTTTGAAAGAAAATTTTGTAGAAGTGTGTTGGCGTCCCGTTTGTTGCGAAAGTCCGGCCTTCAAAACGTCTTCTACCTGAAAATTAAAGGACTAAAAGCTATATTCTGTATTGCCTGAGACACAATTGAAAAACACAAGCAATAAGGATAAGGAATAATAGATTTCAACCTATCAGAAATTGTGTCAGAATTCATGGCTTCTGATAAGCCTAATGCACAATTGAAAAACACAAGTGATAGATAGGAGGACAGGGAATATGGTTTCTACCTGAAACCTTATATATCAAAATACTATGGTTTCTGATAAGTTGAAATTTGTTATTCTCAATTCCTGTTACCTCTGCGTATTTTAATTATATCTTAGGCTATAAGTTCAAATCTGTATCTTCCCATTGCCTGTGCTTTTCAATTGCGTCTTAAGTTTAATTCTTAATGACTGTCGTTATCGTTACATTATCGTTGCGCTGATTTTTTTATCATATATTTTATTTGTGGAACAATAACGATAACAGCACTATCGTTTTGAAGTTACAGCTTTGAATGTAGCAAATATCGCAGAGAAGGGCATTCGGTAAACCGCCGAGAATTCGAATTTTCAATGGACGCGTTAATTGTTAATTGTTTACTGTTTTATTATGAATTCCTTGATAATACTGATTGCAGATAGCAATTTTTTTTCTTTTTTAAGCTTATCAACGATATCTGTGTTCTCTTACGTCTCTTATCTTTTGCCTCTGTAATTTATTTGTACATCCGCGTAATACGTCTCATACTTGATTTTTATTAAAAAGCACACGGTACGCATTAAGATTTTATACATGCAATACATGATTTCTAGTTTCAAGCCAACTTTAAGGTGAACATCTTGTTTAACAGGATATTCCACTGACTTTGCCCTAGTTTTCTGTGTAATGAAATTTCTGTATTATTCGAATATTTTGAAATATATTACAAACAAAACATGTACATCATAGCAAAATTGAAAAAAAAGATATGTTCTCTCTTCGACTTCGATATTTTTAACAAACCGAACGTTAAAATGTTAATTTGTTAACAAAACAAATTGATAGAATTGCAAGTATAATAATTGATAATAAATAATAAATTATATTCTTTTGTTTCAGAACTTAATTCGACATTTCCTGCGTGTTGTCTAATTATTGGAGATTGTCAGCAATGGATCGCATTGTTTTTCTCTGTGTCCACAGTAGTTTGAGCACAACGATAATCGATTAGGAAGTGCGGCTTAGAGTTTACAAAGATGCGGGAGTGGTGTGGCACGATCCCCTGGTATCCAGCAGGGATCTAAAGAAAGTAACACCCCTGCGCTTGAAGAACTCATCTTATATAATTCATTAGATATTAAAATAATGCGGAGACTATGTAAAGTGACATTGTTTTACCACACATTACAGTGCTACGAAATGGTTACTAAGCTCTTTTGAGCATCAACTAGAGTTATATTTTACAAATTTAATACACAGTTGTTAATGATTACACTTTGTACAGCGGAGAGTGTTGTTAAGGGTTTTCAGTGTGTTCAAATTGCAATAATAGTCCGAGTTTGAATATATCGAGATATATTTATCAAAATGTCGTTCTTATCGAATTTGAAGAAGGCCTTCCACTTTGGTGGCAATGATGCGAAGAAGAAGAAGTTATACAATAACATCAAGATGGATTGTAATCCAGAAGAGTTTTGGGAAATGGTGGGTGAACTAGGAGATGGTGCGTTTGGTAAAGTTTATAAGGTAATGTAGCATTTTAAGGAATTCCAGGATATCAAGTTTATTTGTTCTATTAACGTCTTTTTTAAATAATTGTTACTCCAGGCACAACACAAGCAGTCCAACCAGCTTGCCGCTGCAAAAATGTGTGCGTTGGAGGGAGAGGACGATCTTAGTGATTTTATGATCGAAATAGACATTTTGTCAGAATGCAAGCATCCGAATATCGTTGAATTACACGAGGCTTATTTTATTGAGGGAAAATTATGGGTATATTTTTTATATTTCTATATTATATGCTTCTATTATGCTTCTATTATGCCTTGACTATAAGTATAAAGCACCCATCACAAAGTGCCGTGCTTTATATCTAATGAAAAATAAAAATTAAAAAATAATTAATATTTTATTAATTTTTTTTGCTTCTATTAGCCTTTTCCAAGAAAATGCAATAAATTAAGGATGCTTTATATCTATAGTTAATGCTGTAATTATTTATAGCAAGAGCTTTTTTTTTAAATAAAATTTTTTAAATAAAAATTATTTTTGTGACGCAATTAAATGATTATTTTAAAAAGAGCGAAGAAAGAGGAAAAGTTTTTTTGTAGATGTTAATTGAGTATTGTGACGGCGGTGCTGTGGATTCCATAATGGTCGAGTTGGAAAAGGCACTAACAGAAATGCAAATAGCATACATCTGCCAACACATGACTCTAGGTCTTGCCTTCCTACACAAATCCAAAGTTGTACACAGGGATTTAAAGGCGGGAAATGTCTTACTGACTATGGCAGGAGGTGTTAAAATAGGTAATTGTCTCTTTAATTGCAATTATTTCTAAAATTAAACTGTTTATTTAAAAATATGCTTTACTAATATCTTTACTATTATTTAAATACAATATATAACAAGGAATTCTGTCTTTAATTATAGCTGATTTTGGTGTATCCGCCAAGAACAAGCATACTCTGCAGAAACATGATACGTTTATTGGAACTCCTTACTGGATGGCACCCGAAGTTGTCTTATGTGAAACGTTCAGGGACAATCCTTATGATTTTAAAGTAGGTGTTCGTAAATATAAAAATCTATTTTTGATTTGATATATGATGTAACATATAAAGGTGTTATATATGAATTCGAATTTGTTTAGGTGGACATTTGGTCTCTTGGTATAACTCTTATAGAGTTTGCACAAATGGAACCACCGAATCACGAAATGTCACCGATGCGAGTGCTACTTAAAATACAGAAAGGTGATCCGCCGAAACTGGATCAGCCCGGGAAATGGAGTAAGGAATTTAATGATTTTATTGCTAAAGCACTTATAAAGGACCCAACCTCACGACCCACAGCTGACGATTTGTTAAAGCATCCGTTTATAAGCCGAAATTTAGATCCAAAGCCTATCAGGGACTTGTTACTTGAATATAAGGCGGATGTTGTTGAAGAAGAGTTGGTAGATGAGGAAGCAGAGGTAGGTTTTATTTTCTACTTTGCATTCCATCTTGCTTTTTTTAGGTACATGTTAATTATGCAAATCATATAGAATAAAGAAAAAATACAATTTAAAACTGTAACTAACAAATATACGAATCTTATTAAAAAAACATGCAACATATATATTCTTTGCATGAGATTTACAAATTTAATACATGCTTTTATGAAGAATAAATATTTTTTAATATAGCGTTTTTATAACATTAATTTATAATCTGTAGTCACAGTTTTTTTATACTGTAGTTAATAATGTGAAACACTTTCAATCTTATTTAAATAAATTTGCTCTAGTGCAAGATATTATATTTTATATAATAACACGTAATAAGTATTATTTCATAATTTAGAGTTATGCACAGAGCTTCTGATAATGCAGAATTAACATGTATTACACATTGTTACATGCTTCCGTTATTATAGAAGGCCAAAAAAACGAAAAAACATAGAGAACAATATCAGCGAATTGGTAAGCTGCTTCTGTGTGAAGCATACTTGTCTTACCCCTATGTAAAATGAAGGAATGTAAATTATTTAAAAAATGTTGTTTCATCAGATGTTGTATCAGTTAGAACCTGACTATTGGTCTTGACAAATATCCCTGAAAAATTACGAACGTATTAGTTTATTTGTATCAAGTTAATTCTTAAATAAGATGTGACTGTTCGCATTTATGTAAGATTACGCATGATGCGTGATTATTTCACCTAAATATTACAATAGTGCATGCGTTTAAAATTAAATCTGTTGCCAATTTCGCTTTTCTTTTTAATTGTAAGGAATGAATTATTGAAAATGTAGAATATCAATAGTAGAATATTCTATATATAAAATATGTTGTGGTCATGATAAATATGTTGTGATAATTTTGTTACTTTGGCTGTGCATGCGGTTCTTCTGGCTCTCGCCAGCCTCATTATCCCAATGCGCGTCAGGTTAGTAGTTTACACCCCTGCATTCCGTACGCTAACAGAATCAATTAATCCTGAGTTATATAATATATGAACTTAAAAAAGCTATATACGCTACTGTGCTAAGAAAAATGTTATACAGTGATCCACATACAATATTAGCTATTTTTTTTCGGAAATAAAATTCTTTGATATTTTAAAATGTCAATGTTTAAAATGTGTATGAATGTTTAAAAATTGGAGGTTTTTATAGGATAAATGGAATTGTTGGCTATTGTTGGAAATCTAGAGACCTGTATAATAATAAGATTCAATTTGTGAAAAAAAAAGTATACAAAGTTATCTTCTTCAAAGAATATCTTTTCTTCTTTCTCTTTTCTACAAAAGACTTACTGTAAAATCTTAAAAAAAATTTTATTATTATTCCTAACAATTTCCGAGAAAATAATTTGTAAAATTGATATGGATCATCACATAATTATGTGCATGAAATAACATTTTCTATTTTTTTTTTCTTTTCATAATTTCATATTCTTCATATCGAAACAGTAAACTGCAAATTTACGATTATAATCTGCAAACTTTTCCGTTAATATTTCTATGTATCTGGTTAAATGTTATTTAATATCATGGTATTTGTAATGGAAATCAAATGATTCTAAATCGAAAGAAATTTTTATCTATATTTCTTTATTTCTTATTCGCATTTAATGTACATATATATTAATATTTCAGGAGCAGCGCACGTCTCAGCTTCCTCTGGAACTGGATCAAATTACAGATGACTCCGCACCTACGCGCCTTGATGCTGATGTTAAGAGTGAGTATTACACACAAAATCAATATGTATATAACATTCTAAAATATAATAATACTTGTCTCTGTTTTCCAGTCCCCGAAAAAGAAAACGTGGCATTGCCTGCACCTGTGAAGAAAGAGGAGAGTCACAAACGAGAAATCAATCGGGATGGTGAGAAAGAGGACAAAAATAAGAGATTGCGTAAAGCTGAGTCTAAAGAGAACATACAGCCTCCTGTCGAGAAGAAGCAGGTAATTAATTAATAGATAATTAATTAATAGATCATCAATCGCTTAACAGATGAATATTTGATAATAGCAATTATTTATGCAGGCACCTAAGCCACCAAGTGAAACAAATGAGCGCAGATTATCTCGAGATAAAGGTCCAGCACCTCCGCCACCACCCATGCGTCAAGATAGCGAAGAGAAGAAAAAGAAAGACGAGGAGAGAGAGAACATTTCGAAAACCGTCGAGAAAGTCGCAAACCTTCCAGATAAACAGAAATCTACAGAAGACAACAAATCACATATTAATAAATTATCGCAAAATGAAAAGACAGCGGATCAGCGGCTGACAAATGTTAAAGATAAAGAGCAAAAGAATTTAGAAGATCAGACGCAAAATGAATTGAATAATTCCGAAAAGACAAAGAAAATAGAGAGTGAGGGTAACAGTAAATTATTCGATAATATAAAAAAGTTTGAAAATCAGCAGAAGTTAATAAACAATAAATCGAGTTCTGTCTCGAAGAAATTGGGCATAAATGAGAAACGCAAGTCTGCACCCGTGAAACCAGAGATGATTGAAGACTTATCAAAGATAATATATAAACAATCATCATTTGAAGATAAAAGCAGGTAAGCATTTTTCATTTATTTTTTAATGGTTAGAATTAAGTTTCATAAATTAAACTTAGAACACTTTTTAAAAAAAAAACTCTTTATCGTGAAACAATATTTTTATTTCTATAGAATGAAAAATAAGCTGTCGTCTGTTGATGATGTAACGAATTATGAATTACAATCTCGAGAAAAAGAGGTTTACAAGAGTTTGGAGGAGAAGCGGAAGTCTGTTGGGGAGAAATTAAATGCCGTATTGGAGAAGCGATTATCCATGGATCCTAAGAAAAGAATAAGCGACGGTTCTATGGAAACATTGAAGCATATATCCGTCGCGTCGACGCGTCTATCGGAGAAGAATAATGTTAAAGCTAATTCTACGGAAGATATTAAGACGCAGTTTGGCGTAACGAAGACTGAAAGTTCCGTGAAAAGTCGCAGCGCGGGATCATCCAGAAATGATTCTCTTGAAAGCTTCTCGGATGAATTAAGACACGCAAAAACAGATAGTAATAAGACGGATTACGCCAATCAGGAGGACGTAGCGAGTGATGACAAGAGCTTAGAGAAACAGGATCCAGGAATTAATGTTTCAGTGATTACATCGACACCGCTCAGAAGCAGAAGTGGTTCGAGGAGAAGCAGTGGAGATAATATAGTCGTTATTACCGGTAAATTTAGATAGTATTATCTTAGATTAATCTTTACTGGTTCTTTACTTATATTACATCAAAATATTTACTTAGAAAAATTTAGAATTTTCAGTGGATTTTTTTTTATTCTTGAAAGGGACTCTTCATGGAATTTTATCGATACTTAGAAAAATTTTTTAGAAGTTTTCTTTTAAATTTAAATTCTATCTCTTTCTGAAAGCTTTATTTCTTTGATTATTTTTTTTTGCTAATGCAAAATATTGACAAACGGTTAATAATAATTATGGCATCCACATATATTCATGTATATTCTTATAAATTGCGTAGGTTTTTTTAAAATATCCGAGTAATAATAGAAAAGACAATAGTCAACACAGAAAAGAGTAACTTACTAATACTATATTGTAGTGAATCTTTCCTATTTTAGAGGTTTTGTGGCTCTACCATAATTGTAGAAAATTATAATCTTGTGAAATTCCTATCTTTTATTAATTTTCAATATATAATTTATTCATACTGATTATGCTCCAATTTATTTCAAAGTTGCACTGAAAAGTCTCTATTCTTATCTGAAATTTCAATAAAAATACTTGGAAAATTCGCGAATATCAGAATATTTTTTTTACAAGAAATTTCAGTAAACACTGTACACATTTCAGGAAAAGCTCAACCTGAGCAAGAAGTACGCTTAAATACATCAACAGTCCATATTACTACCGACTCACCGGATATGTCAAACAGTCTAGCAAGTAACATAAGTCAAGTAACCGTTGTGACAACGCATCCGCCTGTATTGGTAGACGCGCCCTCGACAGCAGTCACGACAACGACGCCTCTTCCGCGTCGCACCTCTCCGACATCGGAAGTCGTTATCGTTGCTAACGAGATGAATAAGACTCAAGTGAACGATAGTTCTGTCGACGATGACGCGTTTCCTAGTTTGGATAGTCTAGAATACACACCGCAGGAACAGCCTATCGTACTCACTGACGTATCTAAGAGAATCGGCAAAAAATTGGATGAGTCAGAGGTAGTTATAGTAAGCTCCATCGTGGACGAATTGCAGGATACCAGTCATGTTTCTGTGGTCACCGTTGGCGAGGATAAGGAACAAGTGAAAGACTCATCGATATCCAAAAAACACAACGTCATTCGTACTGGCTCGTCTCATAGTGATTTGAGTTCGAATGAGAGATTGAGCTTAAGAAGTGACAGTGGGGATGAGAGTGGTAAGGTGATAATTGCTAGTACGACCATTGAGTCTCCAGATATAGACGATTACGAAAGAAACGTGAAGAAGTTAAATGGATTGATCAAGAACGAAATGCCACATCACGCCGACGATAGGATCGTGAAGACAGTCAGACCGAAAGAGATCAATGTTAAGAATTTCAATAAGGAGAAACGAATTTCTCCAGACAGTTTTGAGGGTTCTCGTTCCCAGAGCGACTCTAGTTCCATAAGATCACACACGCCAAGTAAGAGCATCGATCGTTCTGACGCAGAATCTATTTCGACGACGATCAGTCAGGATAGTAGGGAATCGAATAAGGAAAACCGTTTGAATCAACCTCAACATACGGAGGTAGATGAGGAAGTCATCTTACGTCGAAAACCTGATTACAATCGTGAGATATCCCGACCAACTAGAACAAAGGAAGACATACAAATGATGAACCTGAAGAAAAAGACGAGAAAGCGCACGAGGAAGTTCGAAATTGACGGCGTCATGATGACGACGACGACCTCAAGGGTAATATACGGCGATGATGAGAATGGCAAAGTGTACGACGATCAGATATTCAGGAAGCAAGAACTACGGGAATTGAAGATGCTGCAGAAGATGGAGCAGAAACAATATCAGGATCTGTCTCAAAAAGCTCAATTCAATAAGGACCAGCAGGAAAAACGATTCGAGCAAGAACGACAAATTTTAGAACGGAGTGCCGAAGCGGATTTAGAAGCGCTAGCTCGACAACAGAGACAGCAAATCGAACGCGCCGAAGCACAGCAAGAGGTCGATTTGCGAGTGTCGTCCAAGAAGATTCGAAGCGAACAAGAGAGAGAACTCAAACAATTCCGAGAAGGCCTGAAACAAGAATTAAGATTGCTCAAGCAAGAGATAGACTTGATGCCAAAGGACAAACGGAAGAGCACGTTTAAAATACGGAAGGAGAAGCTTGAAGCAGAACACGAGGAACGGGAAAAACTCTTTTTGGAGAAGCTCAACGAGAGTCACGAAATGTCACTAAGACGATTGTCCGATAGCCATCGCGAGAAGATCGCATTAATGGAGCGACAGTTCTTGCAGCAAAAGCAGCAACTGATGCGTGGTAGAGAAGCGGCGATCTGGGAGCAGGAGGAACGGCAGATACATGAGCGGCAGCAGTTACTCAAGAAACAGCTCAAGGACATCTTCTTCCTACAAAGACATCAGATGCTCATACGGCACGAGAAGGAGCTGGAGCAGATGAAGAGGATGAATCAGAGGAAGGAGGAGGAGTTGATCAAGCGACAAACAGTGGAACGTAGAAACTTGCCGAAGAGAATTCGCAACGAGATGAAGGCGCGCGAGATGATGTTCCGAGAATCGATGAGGATCTCAATGTCGTCCGTGCTTGCACCAGATCCCGATGCCGAGCGTGAAAAGCTGAAAAAGTTTCAGGAGAACGAGAAGAAGAGATACAGGGCAGAACAGCAAAGATTCGAATTAAAGCATTCCAGACAGCTCGAAGAGGTGAGGGCTCAGAGTGACGCTACAATCAAGGAATTGGAACAATTGCAGAATGAAAAGCGAAAGATGTTGATGGAGCATGAAACCCTGAAGTTGAAGGAGCAAGAAGAGGCCTATGGAAGAGAAATTCGTGAATGGAAAGCGCTACTTAAGCCTCGAAAGCAGGTAATTATGTTAAACTTGAATAATGTTATCTTAAAGTTATTTTATCTTCGTTTTATCGATGTATGCAAAAATCTTTGATCTTTGCGGTCTAATAGTATAACTGCCTTTTAATTCTTTATTGGTTTAGCAATGTGCTTCACTTTCAAAATTACGTTTTTACTTTTGCGCATTCTGTAACAGTGTGAGAATTTAGATCGATTCGAAAGATCGGCGCAAACTGACGCAGAGAAATTTGTTGAGCGGAAAGCATAACGTGAAGCTGGAATATGTAAACTTAATCGTTTTTTTGTAACAAAGACGTCCGCTTTTGCATTTAGCTTGCGTCGCTTTGCGCTGAGTTTAATTTGCATGACTAATCATTAATGAAACGAAATCGCTGTAAATCAAGATGAAAAGTAATTAGCAAGAACGCAGCGGGAAGGAAATACGACGCGAATTCGTAATTAAAGTAAACTTAAACGACGCGAAGTACTTGAAAACTAGGTCGTGACACAAATCTGAAATAAAGTCTTGATGTACCTGTTATAGAAGATAGAAGCTGATCTGGCGGCTGAAATGGAAGCATTGGAAAAACGCTACCAAGACTATTTACCTTCTTCTGGTCTTAGTGGTCTCTCTTTTCCCCCTTTTGACTATTCTAAAACTGTGATTTCCGATACTTGGAGGAGATCACCACGCTTGCCACGCTTACCACGTTCCACTCCCACTTCCCCGTCTTTTACTATACCTAGAGTGTCGCTGAAGATGAGCGGTTCGGATTCGGGTACCTTCGTGTCGAACGGCACGTTCTCACGAAGTTACTCCAAGCCAGACCTAGTGCCGTTCTCTCGTAGATAGTGTCTGTCCAAATCATCTGTAATGTTTTATGTCACATTTACTTTAAGGAAGTTTTACATATACACACGTATGTAATGTATATCTACTACGTTAATCTTTCTCCATATATGATAACAGAAGAACATTTTCCAAATGGTATACACAAATTTGGAAGATTTGGTAAATGCATCAGAATACATTACGATCTTTCATTTTTTTTTGCGAATGTAAGACTTCCTTGCTTACACGGCACTTTTTTCATAAGTAACATAATAATCTTCTCTGCTTTACTCACTAGTGCTTTAGTGCTAACGTAATAAATTTAGAATTTAATATTTATATCGATTATGTGTGTGTGTGTACATACACACACGCGCACACACACACACACACACACACACACACACACACATCTATGTATGTATGTGTTTGTGTAGATATATAGATTGTATTATATATTTTTATGCAATTATTCAAAGAATCGCTAACATAACTCAGAAAAAAGAGATAAACTATATATATATTTATATAACTATATATATATTTTTGTATAAAATTTATGGGACATGTGTGGAAATCGTATCATGTGATGCAATGAATTAATTTATTTTTTTGTGAATCACAATTCCAAGACTAAGGAAAGTTTGCACGGATCGGATAAGATTTTCACATGCTTCTCGAGGCCTATGTAATATTTAATAAGTTCTGTTATATAGGATATACATAATATATATGTATGTTAATGTTCCCTGTTTATTCTCACTTTCACTTAATTACATAATTTTCTGTTTATTTGTAGTTGATAAAAAATCAAAATCGAACAGAAAAAAATGGAAAAGCTAATTAATATGTGTAAAGTTCTATAATTTTCTAATATACAAAAATTCAATTAAGTTTATTAAGGGAGAACATCTTTTTAAATAATGTAGCTAAAAACATTAAATAACTCATTCTTAAGATTATATGTGTTTAAAAGAAAGAGTTTCATCTCTGTATTCGTTTCGTCCATGTATTTCGATGTGATTGTATCGTAAATTATGTTGCTTTATTACGAGAGCTTAATCGGTTAAATTTGGAAATAACAGGGTAATGTGGTTATCATGGGCTATTAGTAGAATAATTTATAAAAACACGGTTTCCTTGAAGGGTTTCATAACTATGGTCATTCAACAGCATAGACACTCAATTTGTATTACAGTCCTTACTTAAATGTAAACCTTATAAAAAAGATCCTAATAGAATTAGAAAGAGATTCCACAAGTTCAAAGCCATGTACAAAATAGCCACAAGGTTAGTCCACAATATTGTTGTAAAATAACGTCGATCCACGATTTCAGATGCGTCTACACATATTCTGTAAATATAAGACCTGTACGCATTCCCTTATTTCATAGTCAAATGCTACATATTTTTATATATCACGAGATTTCTTAATCTATGTATATATTTGCCAATCCATTTTGTGTTGTGTAAAAAAAGAATAAATTTTTTAATATCTTTTTCTCATATTACAGAAACTTGAGGAACAGTTCGCGTTACAATTAGAGGAGCAGGAAGCGATTTATGGGCCTAGCGCGATACCACTGTGCTTACCAGCCGATCTTCCTGATCTAACACACCACACAACTGAGTCTACACGTAGCTCGTTGTCTTCTGTGAGCGAGGGCTGAAGACGTTCGATACGAAAGAACTTGTATAATCCGCGTGATCACGTATCCGAGTGTCTTTAACTGAAATGCATGGGATGATCAGTATATCCCTATCGTCATCCAATTTGTATTTGTATATATATCGCGATAATTCGTTTTGGAACTGAATATTAAATAATTTTTATCTAGATGCGACTGTTGTTTGTATGTATGAATAATTGAGTCACCGGAAACAGTGGTGATATAATGTTGTTTTGAAATTTTTACACGTCGCATTTATAATTCTTGAATAACGTTGGGATCAGTGTCGCGGTGTTTTGAATAAAATATTATTCAATTGAAAATTATTTAGAACACTGATCTTTTTGGCGACGAAATATAGAGCTTCCGAATTCCAAGAGGGAATATTTCGTGAATTTATTATTGCGGGAACCAGTTCACGATTAGAAATATATTGTCTAAAATATATCTGTACAGAGATTGTTATGTAATTTATATATTACGACAACAACATTCATTGGTAAATTAAAATTAATCCGCCCATACCTGATCTTGGAATGTTATGCAATGCGAAAGATATGCATTGATATTTTTTTGATCATAAAAAGTGAAAATGTAATGAGGGCGCATTATGTACATATATATATCGCGTCCTCGCAAGAAAAGTGACACATAAGTCAAAAAAATATATGAAATTATTAAAAAAAGAGGAAAGAAAAAAAATTGCATATTTTACGCAATTTATATTAATTAATTTATATTAATTTATATTAATTATTTCTTACAGTATTAGACATAAATAAACTAGAATTAATCACAAATTGCTTGTTTTAAATTTTCTTCAAATATGTTCCAAAGAAAAATGACAATTCATAACAGTTTTTAGAGATATCACAACACCATAACAAAATTAATACATATATTATTTCTACATTGTTAGAATATTTCTATGAAATTCTAAAATGTTTGTTGTCAGATAATATATTTTGTTAAAATAATATATATTTAAATATAAGATGGTAAGAATTAGAAAAAAAATTAACTAATTCAACTGAGAAAGAGATTCGCCTAAAGATATGAAAGATGTGTATGTTTAAAATGTTATTTTTCTTTATTAAAACAGATGTCATTTTTTAATTCATTTTATAACATTTAATATTAAATTGTATGTTATTTTAAGAAATCATATGAATTATCATCTTCCTAATTAAACTATGTCACGGATTTGAACGAGTGTTCACTTTCCACGCAAAATTACAATTTGCCATAAGCAATAGACAAATCATTTTTTTTTTTTATAAGTCGCGTGCTTTCACCATTTTTGCATTAATGAATAAATTTTGTATTCTTCCTAAGTAAGCGTTAAAATATTTTAAACATATATTACATCAACAAAATATTATAATTTGAAATATTTTAAAATTTCATAGAAATATTGTAAAAATATGGAATGTAAATATGAATCTTGTTACAGTGTTGTTATCTTTACAAACTATCTCTTTTGGATTGTCATTTTTTTAGAAAGTTTAATTTATACATCTTTTTTTATTGTAGGCCGATGTATTTAGAACAATCCACGCATAATATAAAATTCGAAAAATGTCAATTTTTGTTACTTTCCTCTGCGAGAATGCGATATATTCCCATACAGCACAGATTCTTCCAGTCGTAGCAATATTACTACAAGCTTCTGTGCTGTATGAATGTATCATCTAAATGTTAACTCCGTTAACACGTCGGTGCAATTAGTAATAGGAAGGATAGTTGTGTATGTATGTTTATAGATAGTATGTAATGATTTTACGGCTATATACAATTTACACAGGCACGGATCGAATGTATATTTTCTATATTTTAAAAAAACCATATCGTATATCAATCAATTCAATTTATTCAATTTACGATCGAGTGGACAGAAAGTCGGAAAAAAGCAACCACAAAACCAGTGGTTTTTTCAATCCGTTTTTAGTTTTACGGTTTTGAAACTGAATTGTGTGAATCTGACTAACAAATTCGTGCCTTAAAGCGTGTGGGATGATACTTTATTGAACTTTGACCCCCATATCTTAAACCAATTCTAGCCTTAACTTGAAATTTTTTTATGATTGATATCTCATCAAAAGATATCAATTCAGTTCCAAAATCGTGGGACCAAAAATGGGCGATTTTTGCGATCAATGCTTTGTAATGTTTGTTACGTGTAATTATACGATGGCGGTAGCGGCAAAATAATGCAAATCACCGGATTTATTTTAAACGATCACGATTTCTCGAGGTATTATGTATACATAGAATCGTTAAATGTACATGGTAAAAGTTCATGTAATAATGTTAAGCTGTAGTCACCATGTTCGGTTATAGTTACGTTATTTATAACAAAAAGAAGTTTATAGCAGCAACGCGAGTATTCTACTTCAGACGAAAAATTTTAGCAAATACCCGATAAACTCGGATTACTTTGTTCCTTGGATCTTCCAATTTTTTTTTCTAGTACAGAAACGATATATGATACATATGCTTAAAATCAAAAATTAAATTCATACAACTCGTTAGCTTGAAATCATATAAAATAAAACGAGGTAATTTGAATAGATTTAACAGAAAATTTTGAAATTGTATAAAAGATTGAGGTCGCTTAATGTATTTAAACATATAAAATATGCACTATTGGTGCAATAATGTATGTTTTATATGTTTGATTGAATAAATTATACAACCTGAATCTTTTATACAACATTAAAATTTCTTTTAACCCATCTAAATTACCTCGCTTTATCCTAATTGCGGTAACGATTGTTATATTCTCACATTTAAAGATTGCACAATATGTCATCTGTTTTAATTCCATAATTCTCTGGAATACACAGATAAATGCATGTTTAAATACATTTCTCGAAAATGATAAACTGTTTATATATAGAGTTAACAAAAGCTATTTTTTATCAAGACACTTTGCACTGATAGTGAATACGATGCTGCTACTTACGGATAGGATATAATAATTACACGTGATTATATTATGAGAAACAAAGTAATCTAGTTTTACATTGTACTAAAAATCAAAGGATAACACCAAATATATATACATTGTACGTTTGCATGGCTGTGCGGCCTGATATATGTGTGACGTTCTAGAGAATCTCTCTTACAATGCGATACAATGCATATTTAAAACGAGCATGCGTGGCTAATGCAAGCTGTAGATAAAGAGTACTTGTAAAAAAACACTTTATTGTAAATTAATCTCGCTATGAAGTTGATTAGTTTTTCAATATATACATATATAATGTGTATGTATATATATATATATATATATATATACGTGCGTGCGTGCGTGTGTGTGTGTGTGTGTGTGCGTGTGTGTGTGTGTGTGTGTGCGTGTGTGTGTGTGTGTGTGTACACATTATATGTTAGGTGTGGGAAAAGTTCGTGGCGTTTTTTTAATGCCATCTAATGGGAAAAACGCTATGAATTTTTTCCCACACCTAATATATATTATATGCGGAATGTCTTAGTTTATCGAATGTTTCT